AGACTAACAAACCATGTCGATGGGATCATGAGCTTTCGTGGGCACACGTCATCTGAAGAAGCAGCTGTGCCCACAAAAGTTCATGATCCCATCGACATGTTTTGTTAGTCTTTAAAGTGCCTTAGGAAATTATTCTACAATCAAACATTTTTCCCTAGTAGTTCTTAGAATTTCATTGAGTTGCAGCCACATTCAAAAGGGGAATATTTGATTATTTAATACTTAAATTAGCAATATCAACAGAAGGATAAAACCAGGAATTAGTTCAAATCTCTCTTAAAGGAGTAGGTTAAAGGTTGGGGTAGAAACCAGCTGTCCTGATTGGTTTTCAAATAGATACAGCTTCAATAAAAACAAGCTTTAGGATCAAGCAACACTATGATCTTACTACAAACCTAACTTTTGTTATAGTGCAACTCCCTGCTATGTATTGTACATTTTTTCTTCGCTGCCTCACCTAATATTTTGAACAGCATAGTCTTTGAAGTATAGTCTACTAGAAATGGAATAAATGCAATCCAATCCCATTAAATGCATTCTTAGTTCACCCAGTGTACCCTTGGGTTGTTTATCTTATTTGACTATATGAGGCCACTTGCACTGAATTCATATATAATGTAAGTGGGAGTTGTGGAGTGGCTACAGAGTTCTTCGGTCGTCCACATTTCCAGAGACAACTATGATGCGTTGCAAGTGGAGTTTAAAATAAGAAGGAACTCCCAGTCAGGGAGTTTTCTAGTTGATGCTTAAGGAGTGGTTCTTTGTGTTTATGTCTTCCTACTACAGCTGTAACTTCATTTTAATGAAATCATCTTAATTGCTCCAGGGCTGTATCTATGTTCAGACCCCTCTTGTACACTTTGTGCAGTGTACTGTGGCAGCCCAAAAGCAGGGGGCTGCAGAAGTCTGGTGGAAGGCAGGTACACTGGGAGCTGGGTATGTGGGATTATGTTCCCTGAGTAGGCTTCCAGAGACTGCGGCCCAGCCACTGGGACTCCTGTATCTCATCTGAAGTCAGCCTGGAGGGAAGGCTGATTAGAACTAAAGATACTACGGACTAGTCGATTCCCCCCTCCCTTGCTGTCATACAGAGCTGACCTGAGTTCCATGCAGCGCTGCCCCTTTGAAATGCCGCCCGCAGCATTTCAATATGGCAGTGCTGCGTGGAGCCAAGGGTCAGTTGGGGACTCCAACTAACTCCCTGCAGCATTTTTGTGGAACCTGGAGTGAGCTGGGGCCTCCCCAGCTGCTCCCGCACTCCAGTGCGGCATTTCAAAGCACATAGAGCCAGGGGTCAGCTGGGGAGTCCCCAGCTGATCCTGGGTTCCAGCGCAGCATTTCAAAGCAGCAGTGCAGCATGGAGCCCAGACTCAGAGGTGGGACTCTGAGTCCCCCACTGACCCCAGGCTCCATAAGGGCACTTCTGCTTAGAAATGCACAAAACCCCCATCTGGGGACTCTTGTACATTTCAAAGCAGGCACATCCGCATGCAGCCCGGAGTCAGGGGGACTTGGTTCCCCAAACCCTCCTTCTGGCTGGTGGGCTGCCAGCAAGGAAAAGACAGACCCTTGGACTATCGGAGGGACTGACCTCCAGACCCCTGACTGGCCGATGATGAAAAGTGCACCTGAAGCGGGCGTAGCCTGGCCTTCTGGGCAGTGGTAGGGACACTGCGAGCCTCCTAGGCACACCCAGGACCCAGGAGGCTTATCCCAGACTTGCCACCATATATATTCGTCTCTGGGTGCATCTACACCATAGGGCAAAAGTCGAATTAAGCGACGCAACTTCAGCTACATCCATTGCACAGCTGAAGGAGGATGAAGAAAAAAGACTGAAAAATGGCAGGGGTAGGAAGAAAGAATGTTCTTTTCCTTGGCTGGGTCCCCAGCGGGGCCCAAAAATGAAGCTGAGCACAGAACCCTCTAACTCTAAATCCACCACTGCCCCCATCACAGGGAGCTTGGGAATGGGAGGAAATCCTATTGAATGGGGACTGCACAAAAAGACTTATTCAGAACCCAGATAGTTTCCCTCAGAAGAGGAACATTCAGACATCACCTGTCCCAGGGTACCCAATACTTCACAAGGCAGAAATACGCAGATAAGCGAAGGCCCCATTTTGCAGAATAAACCTCATTCCATAGTAATTAACCTTTGACTTGCTTTGTCTCTTAAAACAGATTTGTCAGCTGAAAATGCATTATGTACTCTGCAATTTTAGATGGCATTCAGATGTTTCTAGAATATTTCTTGTATCAGATTGTATCATATGTCCTGCACAACAAAGCAATAGCAAAAACCCAGTTCCCACACCTTCCCACCTCCCCCCCCCAGTACCATCCCACTTCCGATCAATTCTGGGGGTTATAGTCACATTAGCTTACTTTTAAAAATGGTCCCTTGCTTGTTGCTGAGTGAAAGAGCCATGCAAATCACAAGGCCGTGATCCTGAAATCACGTCATACACACAGACCCTTGAGCCTATGCAAATTTGAAACTGATCTACCCAAGCAAGGGAAACCGCGATACTGACTGTGCACAACTTGTTTCAATGCATCGACGCCACCAACTTTAAAAACAAAGACAACGAAACATTTTTTCTCTCTTTGTTCTTCTTTCTCTTTTGTTCTCTTCAGCATCTGAGGAAGTGAGTTCTAGCTTCCAAAACATATACTGTAATAACCCCAGTATATAGTTAGACTTTAAAGTGCCACCGGACTCCTTGTTGGTTTTGCTGAAACAGACTCTGAGAACTGTACGTGTTTATCTCTAATCTTGCTCATTTACATCACTGGTGATGCACTACAGACAATCCAACAGCTCTCATACAAAGACATGCGCTTTTTTTCATCTTGGTGGAGTCCTAAATGGACCAAGAAATTGGGGACCTTGGGGCGGCTCAAGAGTCTAATTCTGCACTCTGTGTAAACAAAGGCAAAAGCCCCGAAGCCAAACAAACCAGGAGCCTTATTGGCTCCGACCGTTCACTCTGCCGGTCCCCCTGTGCTATTGGGGTCACCCACTTACAGAGCTGCTGTGTGTCTCCTGGGAGAAAGGGTTTTCTTGTTGGGTTTCTTCCAGAAGCATTTCCAGTGCCAGCCAGGGAGACTCCTCACCCTCACCCAGCCATGAAAACACATCGCTCAAAGGGGAAACTCACCCATACACGGACAAAGGAGACAGAGCAGAGGCAGCAAGACGTTTGCCAGCTGGAGGCTCATGTTGGCTTGTCTGATGCAGTCTTTCCTTGAGGCTAATTCTGCAGCAGCCACACAGTACACAGGGTCTTCTATGTGCCACGGGTTGACTCTCAGGTTTCCTGTCTCTCTCTCTCTCTCTCTCTCTCCAAAAACGTTCACTTATTGAGCCTGGGTCATCATTGAAAACTTAAGAGCCCTCTGCTGCTGCTACTGTTGAGATCGCAGATCACTGTCTCTCTGCTCCCCCCCCCTTTCTCAAAGTTACTTCCCCTTTCCTCTCACACATTTCCTCTTGTGCTGGTTTCTTGCTGCCTCCTAGGATTTTCATGGATGGCTTTTTATTTACCATCAGGTTTTGTCTGCAGTTTCATGCTTGGTCATGTACTGTCAGAGAGAGAGTCAAAACCAATCTGAGGAGAAGGCGGGAGCACAGGGGAAGGGAAGAGATGAGTGATGCTTGGCAGAGGGGATGAGCAGTAAGAGGAAAGGAAGGGCTGTGAGGATTTTGTTGGAAGATGGGATTTGGTGTCAGGTTGGATTGGAGCGAGAAAGTTGGATCAGAGGTGATATATAGTCATGCCAATTTTCTTCCACTATTTGATCTGAGGAAGTGGGTCTGACCCACGAAAGCTCATCATCTAATAAACCATCTTGTTAGTCTTTAAAGTGCTGCATAGTCCTCTCTTGTGTTTCAGCCAGATCAGGCTGACACGGCTACATCTCTATTGCTAAAAAAAAGGATGATGCTTTTTCCCACCAGTCATTTGGCTGCTGTTGCAAAAAGCAGCCTCCAAGGCACGGTGTGCTCCTTGGCCACAATTGGCCCTGCTGTAAGTGAGCACACGATGTGTCTCCAGCAGAGTTGCACCAGGTTACACCAGGGCGGAAGGTTTCCCCGGTCGCTGTCCAGGCTGAAGCAGGCATAACATCCCTTGGAAGTTGCTGTGGGCTACAGGGCTCCCACCGATTCTTAGGGCCTGGTTCTCAGTGCCTCTGTGCTGGGGCAGAGGCTCAAGTTGGACAGGGCCATGCATGCGCCCTCCTCCAACCTGGGGCACAATTAAACTGTCTGTCCGGGGCACCAAAATGGCTTGTTCCGGCCCTGCTGTACCCAGGGATCCTGGAGCCTGCTACCCTACAGCTGTGATTATACACCTGGGGTTTCCCCCTGCTCCGCTGAACTCCCAACCCTCGAAACCTCAACGCAGCCTCCTGGAAAGAAATGGCAGCCCCTCCATTGTGCGGAGGCATATGGGGTGCCAAGGGGTTCAGCGGAGTAACTCCCGCAGGGCAGGGAGGGAAACCTGCGGGACAGACCTATCAGGAAAATGGCCCGGCCGTGGCAGTGCAGTCACATGTGGGGAGGACACATCCCCGGCCCTGTCTAAAGATTGCGCTAAACTCTGAGGCACCATGTTTGCAGGCAGGTGCCAGAGCTGAGAAGCTGGAGGCCAGGCAGCCTCCCACTGCTCTGGAGCTTCCCGTCGTCAAACACCTCTCGGGCAGGGAACCAGTTGCCATGTGCCATGAGGAATTGCCTTTGATTGGGTGGTGCCTTATAAAAGAAATTCCTACCCTGGGCCAGCCCTCTACCGGCCTCCTTCGCTGTGCATGAGTGTCCCCCCCGCCCCACCGCGGAAGCTAGAAGGTCACCAGAAAGGAGTCCCCCGCCTCTGCCCCTCTATGTCCCCACTTTCTGATTGTGGGTCTTTCAGTGAATCAGCAAACTGTAGCCCTAGGAGCCGTTAATACCAATCCGTGAGGATCATGAACAGTCACCAACACTGAGAGGGTAGCAATGAAGCTTTAATATCTGTGCGCCTGTAACAGCTTGTGGCTGTTCTTGCAAGGACAAGAAGATTCTGAAACAACCTCTGCGGCTGTCCTGCCCAGAGTGTCCTCTACATGCACACGGCTAGCTCGCGCTCTCACAGCTGAGCTGTTTGTCCATCTGTCAGTGTTGCCACAAGAACAGTCCAGTGAGGTAGGTGGAATGAAGAAATGAGCAGAGATTGCAGAAAGTAGCGGGCTCTGCCGGGGCTTTGGGCGGAGCATTTATCTGCGATGCGCTGACTGTGATTTTTGTTCCTTCTTTGCCTCCAAGCGGCTGATTGCTCTCTTCACCCAAAGCTTTGAGGGATCAGCACAGACCTTGCGGTCAGCACGGGTCTCCAACCTGCAAACGGAAAAGCAAGGGAGTCAGTAAGGAGGGGCACCTTTGTATTGGTATTTGGAAACATCTTGCCCTTTCGTTTTCTTGCACCAGTTTCCCGCACCCTTATCTGCCTTGTGCATTTAGACTGAAAACTCTTTGGGCCTGGACTGTATTTTATATACATCCCTACCGCACCCAGCAATTTGGGCCCTGATCTACACTGGGGCCTTTTGCTCAGTTGTAATACAAAATATTATCCATAAGTGTGACACCGCTCATGCAGATAGCTCATCCTCTCCAATCCTGCTAGGCTATTTGCGCCTATAACACCCTGCCCCAAGCCTAATGGCCCTTCTCACTCCTGGAGATTGCCCGCTCCTGCACTGTGTATAAAGAAAACCTCCCATACATAGGGGCAGAGCCTGACTTCATGGCCGTCAATCATCTCTGTGACCTGATGTGACAGCTGGAATCTCAGGCTGACACCTTCTCTGACTTGCTGGTGAGGGGCACCATAATGGGGTAGCGGGAGAATCAGCCCTGGAGGGAATGGATGCTACTTACACGACAGCTTGTAAGTGGCAGTCGCTGGAGGTCCTGTAGAAATCCACCAGTTTAGTGAACTGAATTGGGCCAGTCACATAATCAAAGCAGCATTCCTTGGGAGTGTCAGGTCTCGCTGTGGAAGAGAAAGCTGGTGAACACCAAACTCTGTGTTCCTGGACTTTCTCAAGGTCTCTGCTCTCCCTTTCAGTCGCCTCTGAAAACTGCATTAAGACTGAGAACTGTGGCTGATATTCAACCCCATCCCCCCAGCCCACCCATTACCTTCCAGGGATGGGGATTCCCAGGCTAACATGCAGGTACCGCGCACAATTAAGTTTCAGAGTGTCTGACCGCACAAAGCTGTAGCTGGGAACACACCTGCCATGGGGTCCTTCCCTGGTGTCGCTCTGGGGTGCACTGTGGCTACAATGAATTTCATAGCTACCCTGAGTTAGAGCTCAGCTCTGGCCAGGCTTTTCCAAAGTGCCTTATGATTTCAGGTGTCTCCGGTTATGGGTGCACAACCTGACATGCCCTCAAGAGACCTGATTTTCAGAAATTGCTGAGCACCAGTCATCTGAAAATTAGGCCTCTTTAAAATAACTCCTTTGGTGTTCCCAGAATTTTAGGTATCCAAACTAACTTCTCGCTTTGGAAAATGTGGGACAGAAACTTCTGCTTCAAAAAAAAAGCCCAGCTTTGTATTGCTTAAACTAAGGGAGACTCCCCATTAACTGTCAGCAGTATGGGACACCTAGCACATGGTTGAATAACTCTAATTACATCCTGTAGGGGGCAGTGGTACAAATAATCTGTCGCCATTACATGATAAGGCCAGAAATAAATCTGCTGGTGTGTGTTAGTCTGGCTTTCTCTCCCTGTACTCTCCAGTACTTAAGGTCCCTTCTATGAAAGTCAGAATTCTGAGTCTGTCCTGTCACAGTTACCTGACCTGGGAATGATCAGAAGGTGACAGCAGGATTATGGCAATCAAATGGGGGACTAGTGGCAAGAGGAGATGAACCCTTAAACACAGATCCTATTTACCGACAAACCTCATTAGAAAAGAGAAGGAATAAAAACTTAACCCTCTCCAGCCCTGCCAGAAGTGGGCGCAGTTTCTATTGACTCTGTGGGGAGCGGGACCGGCTCAGTTCAGCACTGAATTGTGCCTTTTCCAGTTGTCTCCAGGGTGGTTTCCATAACCCTCCCAACAGCCCCTGCTGCAATTCCAGACACTCGGGGCTAGAACCTTGGCCGATGTAAAGGGACATCGCGCCGTAGATTTCAGTGGAACTTCTCCTCTTACACCAGCTCAGGAGCTGAGCGCGGCTCCCGTCCCAAGGGTCCTACTTACCTGTTGCATATCGATACGAAACGGCCAGGAGGAAGGTGGCCAGCAGAGCTGTCCTCAGGCTGATCATGGTGTGGAGTGGAGTGGGCTTTCTGCTCTGCTCCTCTTCTCCTGCTGGCTGGGAAGTTAGATCTGAGCGGCCACCCCAGGCAATTTATTCTGTCCGTGCAGCCCACACAAGCCATGGTTCAGAGAATTTCCCCAGAGTTCACGAGAAAAACCAACCCAGGAAGCAGGGCGAGATTCCACAAAATGTGTCTGATTTTAACTCAAGAGGAAGGACCCCCGGGAACAGCACTGGAAAAGAGAACACATCACTTCTGCATTCGCAGGAAACTAGCTAGTGAGCTCAGCCAGCCTGGCTTCCGACCGCTTCAGCTACCTCTCGCGGGGTGGCCCCCACAGAGACTCCCAGTCCCAGAATGTGTTCTGCAGCGCCCGGCCCTTCCCTGCACAGGTCAGCGACTTTAGATCCTGTAAGGGGACAGTATCCACGCTGTGCTCCTTGAAAGAGAGTTACCGCCCAGCCCAGTTTACACATTCCTATGGAGTCAGAAAACTCAGATTATTTAACTACAAAGTAAGAGGTTTGAACTCAGCACAAGGTGTTAAAACCTTGGCCACATGCTTCCAGCAACAGGGCTGATCACAGTTCAGGTCAGGATCTCTCCCAGCGTCACATGGACACTTCCTTTGTCATCTTAGGTGGAAAAGAAGGAAATATTGATGGGCCATGTCACCTGGGGGGGGGGTTGGGTCCTCTTCTTTGCCGCACAATGGCCACTTGCCCAGTGACTGGCCATCAGCTTCGACACCTGGCTAGAGCGTGTCCAGTGTCTTTGAGAAACAGGTTTGTTCATTCCCCATTTGCCCACATGTCAGCAATGGCTCCAGCCTCGCTCCCTGTCTTTACCCGTAAGGGTGCTACATGCATTGCACCGTATTATTGGGCAGGGAATTCAAATGACACCTCCCAAGGCAGATTTTGTACAATGACGTGCAGGGTGTGGACAAGGGGTGCATCCAGTCCAGCCTGGGAGGCAGTGCCCTAGGGAGCAGGCTGCGACCAGGAGAGGGCTGCTCAGGATGGTGTATTTATTGCATAGAGGAAAGGTAGGGCTACGGTGCACCTGTCTGTGACCACAGGGCATGGGTTTGTATGGCCTGCTAGGGCAGAGCCAAGCACCCTGGCTTTATTCCATGCACTAAGGGCTTGTCTTTGCACTCAGCAATTCTCCCATCAGCATAGTTAATCCAGCCTCCCCGAGAGGTGTCCACACCGGGGGCTGGGTCAGTGTAACGATGTTGCTCAGAGGTGTGGATTTTTCACACCCCGAGGGATGCTGTCATAGCGATATAGGTCTGTCGTGCAGGCCAGGACTCACTTTTAAACCAGGGCTGGGGAACATTTTTGGGTCAGGGGCTGCTGACCCAGACAAATCAATTGGGAGCCACGCTGAGGCGGCCCCTGACCGAGAAGGAGAAAGATATTCCCCACATTCCCGTCACACGCCAGAGCCTTGGGGGGCCCAGGCTAGTAGTTTTTGTGTGCTCCAGCCCTGCGGAGGGATGGTGGGAGAGCTGGAGCCCCAGCACAGGCTACCCACTCGGAGGTGGAACCCCAAGCCTAGGGGACCAGCTTCAGGCAAGCTGGGGGCCACATCCAGCCCTGGGGCCTTGGGTTCCCCAGCCCCACTTTAAACTCTTGTCCCATCAGCCACTGGGCTCCTTGTAAACTCTGGGATGGATTCTCCGGACTGCTCTTGGATTGTTCTAAATCCTGATCTGGTATCTGGAGGGGATAATCCGCAGGCATTGCAAGGGTCCTTCCAGACAAGAGATCTCGCATCCTGCACCCCACTCCCAGCCTCTTGCTTCCCGCACTTTACGTCTGTTCTAGTGACCTGACGACCTACCGCCAAGTGCCTTTTGCTGGTCGAGGTTGAAAAGCTCTCTGCTAGCAAGAGACACGAAGTCTCAGACTGAGCTGAGCGTGGGTGGTTGTACAAGAGAGGACCCACATTACACTTGCTACCAGTCCTCATCCTCCAGGATATTAACTGATCATCATCAGAGGTCAGGAAGACCCTTTAACCTCTCCTGTCAGTTTGTACAATCAATGCGGGGGGAGGGAGCCAGAGTGTGTTGACTCTTTTCGCTGAAGCCGCTGGTGCTAGAGACGGAATACCAGCGCAGGGAGATCAAAACTCTTCTGCTGTGGAAATGCCTAGCTTGCCGTGTGCCCGACAGGTGCAGAGAGTGGGACATGCTGAGCAGGGGTGACTGGGATGAGTTTTGAAAGGGGCGATGTTCAAAACCTTCAGTGCTTTCCTCTGCAGCAAAGGACACACTCAGAGACAAGGATCCTCAAGGGCCTCTGAATAAGAGGGACTAAAGTTACCACAAGGTTCAGCATTCTCGCTTTGATTGACTGATTTAATCAGGTGTCTCCTAATGTCCAGTGGGGATATTTCCTCCCCCAGATCCTTTGCACAGCCCCATCCTTCCTGAGCGATAGTGCCATTTAACTGCCTGATTCAAGTCAGTGACTATTATATCACTAGCCAATTAGCCCGTCATAAGACGGGATTTTGAGGTCTCTCCTCCACGTCGGTCTTCTCTCCTGAGCCTCCGGTCTATCGCTCCGTCTCTCTCTCTCTCCTCCTCCTACTGCCTCCCCCTCTCTCTCACTCAGCTCTCCTCTGCCTCCTGCCTCTCTCTCTGTCTCTCTTTCTCTTCTCCTCCCCGTCCTGCCTCTCACTCGAGGGATCACAGAGCCCAAATGGCTGTTTGGGCTCCGCACTCCCCATGCTGCATGCGGGGCGCAGAGCCCAAACGGTCGCTTGCACCGCTTGCTCCCATGCGGCAGCCTAGCTGAGCGGTGCAGAAGTCAGCCGAGCAGCACAGGGCGGGGCAGTGACATTCACGGTCAGGGGGCGGGGCTTGGAGCCACTGTCACGCTGCACGTCACCACCCCGCCCCTCTCGCCTCCCGCCGATTTCTGCACCATTCAGCTGGGCTGCCACGGGGAGCAAGTGTCCATTTGGGCTCCCCCATGGCAGCCTGGCTAAGTGGCACAGACATCAGCCGAGCGCCATCGCAGGAGGTGAAGGGGTGGCAGGGCGGTGACGTGCATGACTGACTTCTGCACCGCTCAGCCAGGCTGCCGCAGGGGAGCAAGCAGCGCAAGCAGCTGTTTGGGCCCCACGTTCCCCTTGCAGCACAGGCCGCCCAGAGGGAACAGCCAGCATTTTAGGCAACAGCGCCCCCGGAGGGAACAGCCAGCATTTCGGCGATACAGACTCTCAAACATTGGGCTACTATATATATGATTCTGCAGCTGCCTTGGTCATTAAGAATGTAAGAACGGCCACACTGGGTCAGATCAAAGGTCTTCCTAGCCCAGTGTCCTGTCTTCCATCAGTGACCAATGCCAGCTGCCTGGAGGGAATGAACAGAACAGGTTCACGGGATCTCTCCTCTGTCACCCATTTCAAGCTTCTGACAAACAGAGGCTATGGGCACCATCCCTGCCCATCCTGTCTACTAGCCATTGATGGATCAATGGAGTTATCTGACTCTTTTTTGAACCTTGTTAAAGACCTGGCCTTCACAACATCCTCTGGCAAGGAGTTCCACAGGTTGACCACATGTTATGTGAGGGAAATACTTGCTTTTGTTTGTTTCAAACCTGCTGCCTACTAACTGCATTTGGTGACCCCTAGTGCTTGTGTAATGACACTGAGTATAAACCACTCCTTTATTTACATGCAGGTTTTGACACAGCACCCTTCACCATGGTATCTGAACAAACACACACAGTGACTAATGTGTTTCCCAGGGGTATTCCAAGAGGGGAGGGGTCCACAGCCGGGGACTGGCCCTGAGAGAGCTCTGCCCCCTTCGTACCCGACCACCACTCTTACTGGGGCAGCGCCACTGACCCTCAGGAGAGGAGCGGGGGGGTGCTCGGGGTCTCCGCATGCAGCGTTCCTGCAGGAGTTTTGGGCCCAAGACAAACCGAGCTTCAGAATGAGGACGGAGGCCCAGACCCTCAATGGCGTTGTCAGGAAAACCCAAACCTGTGAGGTCAGGGCCAAAGCCCCTGCACTTGGCCCTCGGGCAGTGAGGGGGGGGCGCCCTGCTCCCAGTCGCAGCGCGGTGGTGGAGTGGTGAGCTGCTGAATTCCTCCTACGCCGCTTGCAGCTTGCTGGGGGCTGATGCTGGGACGCCCAGGGAGAGAGCGCTGCTGTGCCCCGCGTGGTGGTGACAAAGGCCAGGTCGTCCGGCCGGGAGGGGGGAGGTCTCCTGGCCAAGCAGAGGTGCTGCCGCACTTCGGGACTGAACTGGGCCCTGGGGGTATTCTTCACGGCATCCCTCCTTCGAGAGAGGAATGCAAATGCAGACAAACGAAATTGGAAATGAAGTGCGGATTTGAATTTCCCACGCTTCATTTACATAATCGCGGCCGGCTGCTTTTTCAAAATACCCAATTACAAGATAAAAACGCTGTTTAGACGCGGTTATTTGGAGAAAAAACCCTTCCTTCGAAATATCCCTTAAACCTTAGGCCAGCCGCAAGGGCACAGACACAGCCCCAGGCACCCCGAGGAGTGACGCACACAGCATGTGGCAGGCCTGCACGTGCAAGACACCGCCTGCTCCCGCGCACAGTGCTGCGAGCCGCAGGAGGCTGCTCCTGGCTCCTCTGCCGCCCATGGGATCCCACTGTGGCCAGACACATCCCTTGCCTGCTTCTCCTTGGCCCAGGGGACGGGGTGGCCAGTGGGCAGCACTGTCACCAGGCTTCTATGAGGCAGGGCCTGCTGTGCAGCCCACATATGGCCTTGGTCCCAGGACATCCCCTCCTCTGCCCCTGGGACTGGTGAGGCCACATCTGGAGTATTATGTGCAGTTCTGGACCCCCAGTTCCTGAAGGATGTGACCCATTGGAGAGGGTCCAGTGGAGGCGACCAGAATGATTTGGGGGCTGGAGCACATGACCTATGAGGAGAGGCTGAGGGAGTTGGGTTTGTTTAGTCTGCAGAAGAGAAGCATGGGGGGGGATTTGATAGAAGCCTGCAACTTCCTCCTGCGCACCCCTCTGTGTTCCCTGGACCCACCCCAAGTCCAGTGAGGTCCCCGGACC